AGAGACGATGGCGGCGTGTGCAGTCACAGGGTGATGCTAGGAATGTCCTGACAATCGTCTGCAGGTGACAGGGTCGGTCATGAGCGCCATGCTGATGGGGCAGATGAAGGACCGGAGCGCTCCCTGGTCCGCTGCCATGGCGGGGCCGAGGAGCGAGGGGAGGGGAGGGGAGGGGATAGGGGGGTACGTGCAGCGAGGGAGCGAGGGGGTGCGAGGCCGGTCTAGCCAGGGGTAGGGGGTGGTACGAGGAGGGGAGAGGAGGGAGGAGGGGTGGTCCAAAAAAGAAAAGCTAATCCTACCAGCGGCTACGGGGGAAGTGTAAAACTAAAAAGAAGAAGAATAAGTCTTGTTGCTGCCTTTTGTGTGCGATGGTACCTTCCGGGTATGTGTTGTTGCTGCCTTCTGTGCATTTGGTACTGATGGTCTGAGGCGGGTGGCTCCGTTCTACTAGAGAGGACCAAGGGGATCAAGGGGCTGGGCATACAGAGCTGCAGGATCTTAAGGATAGGTTGCAATCATTTCAAGATATCTGATCAAGAAATGACAACGTGGATGTCTGATGTGGAAAAAACGGCAATGAATCCTTTGATTGTGAAGTTCAACAGGATCAATCTTGAGAACTCTTGCTTGAGTGATGTCAAGGACATCATCTTTGATAGGTACATGGAGTTATGCAAGTCAGAGATCGAGGAATTCAACAATGCCAACTTTATGTGCGAGATGTGCTGCTCTTGGACACCTTCTGAAGAGCGGAATAGATTGTCTGCCTGCAAGACCTGCACAGATAATTATTTTGTATGGAGATGCTCTACATGTGATGATGTGTTTGAGCACCTCGACGCGATGGAAACCGCAGTATGTCGCGATGGACGCTTGATAAAGGAGCGACACTGCAAGAGATGTGAAGAGGAGCTCGAGTTGTCATGCTGGGATTGTGGAATGGTATACAAACTGTGCAATGGATATGATGAGGAATATTGCTCATATGGCTGCAAGTCTAGAAACGCATGGTTGTAGTCAACGAGAACATCAGGGGGTACATCTTACTGACTGTGCAGCCTCATATGGTTGCTTATATGGTTGCTTATATGGTTGCATGTCTGGAGACGATTGGAGAGATTAAACAACAAGGATCCAGGGGGTATATTTTACTAACTGTGCACCCTGAATACAAGCTTATTGTTTGATCAATGTTTGGATGTTCATTCTTACAAATCTCCAATACACTCCTCACAATCTAGCCTTCTTCTCTTGTGGCTACATTGTTCATCTTCACAATCTAGCCTTCTTCTCTTGTGGCTACATTGTTCATCTTGTGTCTCGCAGCCCATACAGTTACAACTTCCTGCATTGGCTCCTTACCCTGTTGTGCTCACATACTTCACCTGCTTCCCCTCTCCTCTCCTCTCCTCTCGTGCAAGATCTTCTTCTCTCCGGTCAGATCTGCTCCTCGCAGTCTCTTCCTTTCCTTCTTTCCGTCTCTTTCCTTCTTCCCCCTTCTCCTCCCTCCTCCATCTCTCTTTACTCGTCCTCTGCCTTGTTCGCTCCCCTTGTCATTGCACTCCACTACCTCCCTCCTGTCCATTCCTCTTCTCCGCTCTCTGCTCTCTGCTTCCCCCCGCTCTGCTCGTCTCTTCTGCTCCCTTCCTCTCTCCTCTCCTCTTCTCTTCCCTTTGCTTTTCTGATCGCCTTTCTACTCTGCTGTCTTCTCCTCTTCCAGCATGTCATGGAGAGCGCACTCTCCATGACATGCTGGTGCTATGACATTGAGGATCGTCGGGTCAGCGCGACACTCCAGGTCAACCAACCCAAGCAGAGAGTGCGATGGATCGTGGTGATGTACTAAGACTTAGAGCGGTGAACGACCCCAATCAGAATCATCTCCTCACTAGTATTCGTTATGTTGCTCTGACAAGACTAAAGGAGAAATGGCTCACGGGCGTCGCCTGCTTGCTCCCGTTGCAAGCTTCTTCGTTCCGAGTCCCCCTCCCGCCCTCCCCCTCCCGATCTAGACTTCCTCTCCCATTCTCCCTTGCTAGCTTCTTCGTTCCAAATGTCGGCTGCTGGATTGTGATCGTGTACCGGAT